GGGAGGACTAGAGGAACAAAAGGGTCAGGGAACATTGGCATATGCCTGCACTACTGAAGTCGCTGGCAATTTTGTTCCTCATTTCAGTTGCAGTAGAATTCAGTTCTAGAAGAGAAACTCTCTAAAATATACTGTTTTCATGTATGGGAGGGTTTTTTTAAGTGGACTCAGCACTTATCACAAGAGTGAAGGCTTTAAAACTACAAATTGTGGCGTATTAAGAAACAAATTAAAAAAAAGATATGTTGAAAGTATGAGAGTAAAAGATACATCACTGCAAAGTAATGAAGCTAGACACTAGTTGTGTGTTGCTATTTATTAGATGTCATGTTTTTGGAACCAGACCACTTTGAAACCTCTCCGCTGCTAAAGTGCATCATCACAAGTTTTCAGAAGAAAAAGCTGGAATTCCCAGAAAGATGCTCTCCTGTCACCCAAACATGGACTAATATTTCAGACTTGTGAAGACTGTCACAAAACAAGAGTCAATTCTTTGTAGAAATGCAACAAAATTGTATTAAAAACCAAAGACAATACTGCTCATCATCTGGAGGCAATTCAGTGTCTGAAATTTTAAAAATGTACAAATGTCAGATTTTGATCACTAGAGGGCAGTAAGATCCAAGATGCATCAAAAGAATTTACTTAGGGTATGGCAGGCTACACAATTATTCTGTCTGAAGAAGTGGAGCACTTACCAGTTTCAAGATGCTTTCCTAAAAATGTTGTACATGTGCACTCTATCCTGAGTAAGGAAGCTAAACCATGGCCATTTAGCAGCTGTTTCATTCCAGTGTGACCTGTATCAGTTTAGCTTTGTTTACTTTAGGATAGGACTACACAACACAGTTACAATGGATGAGCTGACAGGCACCACAAAGAGTAATCACTCTTCATTTAAAAGGGATATAATTGTTGAGTTTGCCCACAGTTAAAGTCACTATACTACACAACCAAAACACAATACAACTAATTGATTTTTGAAGGAAGTATGTTAGCCATTTTGTATTTTTAAGAATACAAAAATTACAGACCATTGTAAACTAGCAAATCCTTGGGTAACTTACTTTGCAAAATCCAAATAAGATATATGTCCATGATAAAACCCTGGTTTCATTTCCTTCCAGGAAGTTACATTCTTCACAAATCGCACCTTGAAAAGTAGACAGGAGTAAATATTCCAATACTACTTTGTATGGCTGAAGTTTAGCTTAAATTTGCTCTCTCTTCGATACATATCCACATAAAGCATTATGATACAAATCTCTCAGTATGAATGCCAAAAAACATGCAACTAATTCAAAAGTACAATTTACAATGGCTAAGTCATTTTAGACGTTAATGCATTTAAGAATCAAAAACTAATCAAAAAGAGAACAAAGTAATCAGAAGGACAATTCCAAGACAGAAACATCTAAAATATGACTAATATAAATAACGTTTTTGGATGGCCTCACGGATGCACTGTTTGGAGAAAATAAAGAGTTCCTTCAACAAGAAATGATGCTTGATGGATCTGATGAATCTACATTTAGTTCCTCAAATAGTCTTAAAAAGTCTATCAAATTTACCATAACTAAAAGACATATATGTATTTTTTTTCCAACGGTATGGAGTAAAACACTGATTTTGTATGTTCTTCTTTATTGGAACATAACCATCCAAACTGATGGTCCACTTATGCAAAGGGAGCATTTTAATATTTTGAGAGAACAGCAAACCAATATTGGAACACTACATCCAATATAAGCTGCGGCTATTTACTTTTCTAGAGCTTACTTATGGGTAAAATTCTTTCAAGCCTAAAGGTTTAACATAATCTAAATCTAAATCATGGTAAGGCATGGAAGTACCCCTTAGACAACAGCTGGTCAAGTCCCCAGCAGATCTTGACAAAACTTTACAAGGGCTACAAACAGACCTTACATTCCTAAGATTCAGTAAAAAAATAAGAATAAGAACTCACACATTTCACAATATGATCAAATCAACAAAAGCAGTTAAGCAAATCAAGTTGAGGGAACTGTCAAGTGTAACAAGCCATTAGTGCATCTTGGGTAGCAGTGGCCACTACCAATCTTGTACCTGCTCTAAGCTGGCACCTGGGGCTAGTGCTGTACTTGCTCTAGTTATGCACTACCAGGAACTGCATGATACTGTACTACTGAAGGTGCTCAATGAACTGCACTGGTATTGAATTTGTTGTGGGTACAACTCAAAATGTGGATTCACACAGACACGATTTGGAATCTGGTAACTCAGGGACATCTCCATGCATTGTCCAGATGAAACCATACCTTGAAAATGTACTCCTGGGCTAGGGACAGACATTCAAAAAGCCCAAGCCTGAATTGATTCAATCTTTGCAGGTTAGTCTAACCTGCAGAGACTGAACCGATTTGCAAGTGGATGGACATTCACTTTTCACTTCAGAAATGCAGGCACATGCCTGAAGTGGCTCAGGCCAGAAGCCTGGGGGTGCTACAGCAGCCCTGCCTTCCTTTCCACTGGGAAGCTGAGCTGGTGGTGGGAAGGGGAGGGGCCATGGCCAGGCCCCAGCAGGCCTGGATATAACTGAGGAGGGGTTTAAACCTCCACCTTGGCCTGCAGGGTTCGGAGGGAGAAGGCAGAGGGAGCGTGGCCAGACAGGGGCATGGCTAGACTCCCATGGCAAGGGAGGAGGAAGAGGAGGAGGAGGATTGCTATTTCCATTGTTGCAGCTCCCTGAGAGCCGGGAGCAATCTGGACACACAGCTCCACTACCCTGCTGCAGAGGAAGGACTCTTCTCCCTCCTCCTCCTCCCTCTCCCCTGCTGGGGGGTGGGGATGGGGACTCTGTGCAGTGCTGCTGAGCCCCAGGTGGGGAATCTTCCCCCTCCCCCACTGTCGCCGTGGTGTGGGGAGGGGGCTGTGTGGTGCTGCCCTACCTGGGTGCAGGGAGTGGTTGTCACTGAGCCACAGCTGTTAGAAAGTGCCTCGCCCCTGCAGCCTGGGCTCAGCCCTGGCTGTGGCAGCTACATGACGAGGCCGGCTCAGTGACAGGGAAGCTGAACCCTGTCAGTGAGAGCTGGCTGTCCTGGTATGCATGGGTGGCAGCCAGCCAGGCAGCGGGCTACCCAGGCTGGCTCAGAGTGCCTTAGGGGCTCGTGTCCATAGCGAGCCCCTGTGGCAGGCAGCTGCCGGTTGCTCTGGGCCAGTCTGGGTAGCCTGCAGCCTGGCCAGATGCTGCCCATGTGCGCCAGGCCAGCGTCACTGAGCCACAACTGGCCTCACTGCACGGCTGCCTCGGCTGTGGCTGATCAGGGCCAACCCGGGCTGTGGGGGCAGGGCCCTTTCCAGTGAATATGGATCAATGACAGCTGGTCCCCACATCCAGGCTATTAAGGCAAAAAAAAAATCTAAATCTTGGCCTCAGATTAATACCATCAGGAAAATATGCCTCAAGGTGCTGTAACACTACCAGTAATGTTATATTCAATTTATACAGGTTCACCGGGAAAAAAAATCCAAAGAACTGCAAACTCGGGATCCAATTTTTGAAGTCAGGAATGTGCATTTGAGAGATCAATTGAGACAAACAATTTAGATAACCACATCTTTATGAAAATCAGATAACTGTACATATGACAAGTCCTTATGTATCTATCAGGCACTTGCTCATGTACTTACTACTTTGTCTGTGAGCGCAATCTGCAAATATATACAACTGATTTGTAAACCAATGCCTTGGCTTCTATAAAATATATCTGGATTTTAAAAAAAGGGATTTAAAACGGGGACAAACTTTGCTTTTTGAATTTTGCAATACCCAGGAAGACAAGAAATAGAAATGAACCAAAAACCTGATGAATAGCAAACCATATCAAATACTTTGGTAGTGTAAGAGTGATGCTGTAGCCATGATGGTCTCATAAAATACTTTGTAATATACCTGTCTTTGGAATTTACATTATACGCTGATATTTCCTAAACAAAGTTTATACTACTTTCCATTTAAAAAATTGCTTTTGGAGAGTTCATTTTGAGTTATATAAATGTGGTGAGCTGAAAGCCAAAACCAACATAGGCAGATGATATATTATATAAGCATTTACCACTGCTATGATAATGATGGTCAGTTTTAATTTGCCATGTCCCTTCTATTCTAGTCTAGCCAGAAGCAAATTTATCACAAGGCCTAGGGACAGAAGTTGCACATAAACCAGTTTAAGTGATCAGAAACTGGTTTAAACCTGTAACAGAACAGAAGTTCAGTGCACATAAACTACTTTCAATATGGCCCAAACTGGTTTAAGATAAACCTGGTTGAATGTAGTATCAGACTTAACTGGTTTAGGTCAAACTGGTTTATGAAACTTCTGTCCCAGACCCCTTCCCGGTTCAAGTTAAATCAGAGTCCCCCAGCATCCCAGCATGCTTTGCAGCCCTGGGCTGGGCTGTGCTATCTGCTCCAAAGAGTAGGGCTGGCCCTGCGCCTCTGGTCCCAAGCTGAAACAGCGAAGTCTGGCTTATTGGCCCTCTCAAGCAAACACTGGTTGGGGTTTGAGGCCAGGGAGGTGGGGGGCTTAAACTTCCCTTCCCCTGAGTACTGAGCTGCCTTACCCTGATAAACTTACTGCTGGCTTTGACTGTGGACTACAAATCCCAGAGGCGCCTGGAAGCAGGCACAGGAAATGATGAGCAACCGTGCAGAGTCCTGCTTCTGTGACTGTGGACTGCACATCCAGGAGACCTCAGGGGCAGCAAGAAAAGGAAGCAAGCACACAGCCCATGCTCGCTATGTGCCAGACAGCCATGCTCTAGTGCTCCCCGGCTTCTGGCTTGAGCCACTGCAGGCCTGTGGCTGCATTTCCTGAATCAAAAGTGAATGTCTGTTCATTTGCTTATTGGTTCAATCTTTGCAGCTTAGACTAACCTGCAAAGACTGAATCAGTTCAGCCTTGGGCTTTTTGGCTGTCTGTACTTAGCCAAGTAGTCTAGTAACAATTAAACCTGTTAAAGAATAAAGTGCTAACTCTCTTCCAAAGCATATTTAATTCTAATTATAAAATGTATTTAATATGGCTTCTATATCATGACACCTAATTCCACCAGGTCCTCAGTTTGTTTTCAATGGCATCTATGTCTTCTTCATGTTTGTTTCTCCCCCTTTAAACACTCAAAATGCCACTCTCTCTTGAATACTGCTGACCAGAAAATAAGGTATAAAATGTAATCAAAAGCGATGAGGCCAACAAAAAAATACCATTTCAAATGCAGCTTACCTGATCTTGTAATGACATAACAGGATTATTTTTGGTTGTATTGATATGCAGAACATGGTACTTGTTCCTTGCACAGAGGTCATATGCTATATTTGTGAAGGACGTGCTTGCAGTTTTAGGTACTCTGTTGTAAATGATCACCACATCATCTTCTTCATCCAGAGTTGCATCTGGCCGAGGGCCATCTATTGTATGACGTTGCTCAATTTCTCTGACTTCATGTCTGGCGATAGCCCTTTCTGTGAAAAATACAACACATTAAGCTCTGAATAATGTAGCAGATTGATTTTACAGTAACACTGTCCTTAGAATTGAAGTGGCAACACAATAACAACATTTGCTACGATAAAGAACCCATCATATACTAATTAGTTTTAGCATTTTGGGTTAAAACTTTTATCATTTAGTTTAAGCTACCTAATCATGCTCAGATAGAGTATATTGACTGGGAGCTGATTCACACTTGAAGGATACAGATTATAACATTAGAAGAAACTACCCTCTTCTCTTTAAAGAAATACCTAAAGTTTTATCCAGATGGTAATACACAAATTCTGCAGGGCTGTGGATAACACACATGATATTAGGTAAAAGGAATAGCTAGCTCAGATATTAGAGTCTAGAATATGAATTTTCCAAAACAGCAAAATCATCAACCATATATGGTTGAGTCAATTAACTGTGAAGAGGCACTGAAATTTAGATAAAACTGATGTTGTGCTTATTCCAATTAAAAAACTCCCAAGTGAAAAAATATTACAATGAGCAGCTTTGCAAAAATCCAATTAGATTTATTAATTTCAACTATGATAAGAACAGAGACAGGAGAAGGTTATGCACAATTAAAAATTAAGGTGCAAGTGATCCTGAATACAAAATATATATCAAACACAAGACAGAAAAATAATTAAAAAAAAAAATCAAGTCTTGTTAAAGGCATGCATTAAAGAAGGGGGTAAACTATTAATAAAGGGCAATGTTCTAGGAGATGGTTCCCTATTCAAAATATAAACTCCCTTTTGGAAAATGAAAAGCAGATTTTTCTGGCACAAATGTATCTTCTCTTACTGCATAACAAACATTTCATGACAATGTAGGCACGCCAGACAGCTTTTTCCCAGCCACTATGTAAAACCAGAATCAGAATCTGATTCTGATAAGAACTTTAACTGTACATTTTGTAATCCAATGTGGTGACAACAATGCTTGACCCTTCAGGTAGTTGAAGGCTGCTATTAAATCCCCGCTCAGTCTTCTCTTCTCCAGATTAAATAAGATCAGCTCCCTCAGCCTCTCCTCATAAGTCATGTGACCCATCCCCTGCACCACTTTTGATGCTCTCTGCTGGACTCTCTCCAATTTATCCACATCCGTTCTATAGTGGGTGCCCAATACTGGACACAGTACTCCAGATGCAGCCTCACCAGTGCTAAATAGAACAAATAATCACTTCCCTTGATCTCCCAATAACACTTCTACCAATGCAGCCCAGTATGCCATTAGCCTTCCTGGCAACAAGGGCACACTGTGGGCTCATATTCAGCTTATTGTCCACTGTAACCCCCAGATCCTTTCTGCAGAGCTGCTGCTGAGACGATCAGTCCCCAGCCTGTACTGGTGCATGGGATTGTTCCATCCTAAATTCAGGACTTTGCACTGTCCTTATTGAACCTCATTATATTTCTTTTGATCTAATCCTTCAATTGGTCTAGGTCTCTCTCAATCCTAACACTACCCTCCAGCATATCCCCTAGCTTGGTGTCACCTACAAACATGCTGAGGGTGCACTCTATACCATCTTCCAGGTCGTGGATGAAAATACTGAACAAAGCTAGCTCTAGGACTGACCCCCGGGGCACTCCACTTGATACTGGCTGTCACCTAGACATCGAGCCATTGACTATTACCCTTTGAGCTTGATGATCCAGCCAGTTGTCTGGCCACCTTTCAGTCCATTCATGCAACCCATACTTCTTCAACTTGCCTGAGAGAATGTTGTGGGAAGACCATATCAAAAGCCTTGTTAAAATCAAGGTAAATCACATCCACTGCTGTTCCCTCATCCACAGAGCCAGTCATCTTCTCATAGAAGGCAATCAGGTTGGTCAGGCATGACTTGCCTTCAGTGAATCCATGCCGACTGTCCCTAATCACCTTCTTTTCCTCAGCTCATGCCCATTTTTTCCATTTCCAGGCACCCATGCAAACAGCACTTGGGGAGTAGGGAGCTCCCAGCTCTCCAGCTACCACTTCCA